GGTAAGGTCTGTGGGAGATTGTATTTTCCAACAATAGGCACAATAATATCATCCATTCCTGCTCTTCTTCAATGTGAAGAAAACCTTTCACACTGATGAAGGCAATGTGACCTTGCTACTCCGCCATCAAGAGGTAGAGTACATTTTCCCCTTAACTGCTTTCATCAACAGAATAGGGCAAAGTGACACTGTGCCAGCTCTGAGGACAGCCCTTAACCAGCCTGGTAGCTTCCATTTCCTGTCTCTTGAAAGCTAGCCACCATATACAAAAATTAGTCAGGCGTGGTGGCGCATGCCTATAATCCCAGCTACTCAGGAGGCTGAGGCAGGAGAATCGCTTGAACTTGGGAGGCGGAGGTTGCAGTGTGCAGAGATCGTGCCATTGCACTCCAGCCTGAGCGACAGTGTGAGACTCTGTCTCAAAAAAAAAAAAAAAAGTCGCAGAAGCATTCAGTTAAATAAATTGTTCCTTCATGGGCCTTGATTGATATACTTATGATTCTTTATATTTTGCCCATTAAATAAAACCTAGTGTAGCTTTAAAAACTCATACACAGTACCAAACAGATTCCTTTCTAACTAAGGACTGGTAGAGGCAGCTTCATGTTTTACCTCACAAAAAAACCTTATTAAATGACAGAATAAAACAACTAGGCTGAAGTAAATGTTTTTGCTTCTTTGTCTATTTCTATCCCTACAATGCCATTTAAACATTAATAGAGCATTTTTTAATTGGCCTGACAAAGCCCTAAGAAATTATCAAGGTTTATGAGGCAAAGAGAGAGGCAGTTTAGTATGATTGGGGTACACAGATTACAGGAAGAATAGAGAGTGGAGTCTTCACCATGGTGCAAGGCTTGGGTCCAAACTCCCTAACCTCAGGTGATCCACGCCGCCTCGACCTCCCAAAGTGCTGCGATTACAGATGTGAGCAATTGCGCCAAGCCAAGCATGGCCCCATTTCTTACATGGGTGGCTAGCTTCAAGAGACAGGGAAAATGGCACCTACCAGGCCTGGCTTAAGGGCTGTTCCCTCAGAGCTGGCACAGTGGTCCATTTGCCCTATTCCTGCTTGATGAAACGCGTTAAGGAAAACGTGACTTCCTACTCGTTGATGGCCGGAGTTAGCAAGCGTCACATTGCCCTTCATCAAGTGTGAAAGGTTTTCTCACATGAAACGAGAGCCAGGAATGGATGCATATTATTGTGCTATTGGTTGGGAAAATACAATCTTCCACAGACCTTACCCTC